CTTTATTAGTGTAGATACTAGAGGCCCCATGCACAAAATTTGTGCATGGGGGGAAGTGTCCCTCAGGTCAGCTTGCACCTCTCTAATCTGGGACCCCCTCAGGGGATGTCCAGCTGCCAGTTTAGGTCTGATTCCAGTGGGATTGGGCCTAAACCAGCACTCGGACATCCCTTTCACAATCTGGGACTGCTGGCTCCTAACTGCTCGCCTGCCTGCCCTAAACCGCTTCTGCCTCCCAGCCTGATCGCCCTTTAAGCACTGCCCTGCCTGCCTGATTCACACCTAACTGCTCCACTGCTGGTGTGATCACCCCCAACTGCCCTCTCCTACAGGCCCAATTGCCCCCAACTGCCTTCCCCTGCCAACCCAGTTGCCCCCAACTGCTCTCCCCTGCAGGCCTGGTCCCCTCCTAAACTGCCCTTCCCTATCAGCCTGGTCGCTCCTAATGCCCTCCCCTGTTGACCATTTGTGGTGGCCATTTGTGACAACGTGAGGGTGACCATCTTGTGTCACACAAGGGCATGATGCTTTTGTTATATAGGATATTCACCATAATAAAAACAAAAACAACACCAGCTATGTACCCTTCCTATTGACTATCCTAGTCTGAGATCTTATTTCTTCATTTGCAGAAAATTACAGTAGTGACTGGTTCAGTCCAGTCATTTCTCACCCTAGCTCAATTTGTAGATAACTGATGGGTCCATCTTTCTGGTAAATACTTTAATGTCTGGCCTTCAAATTTTCAAAAGCTTCCCATATCTTGCAAAAGAGGATAAAAACCTAAATCTCAGCCAAAACCAGTTTGGCTCAGTGGATAGAGCGTAGGTCTGTGGACTGAAAGGTCCCAGGTTTGATTCCGGTCAAGGGCATGTACATTGGTTGCAGGTACATCCCCAGTAGGGGGTGTGCAGGAAGCAGCAGTTGGTCGATGTTTCTCTCTCATTGATGTTTCTAACTCTATCTCTCTCCCTTCCTCTGTGAAAAAAAAATCAATAAGATATATTTTTTTAAAAAATCATCTAGCCAAAATCGGTTTGGCTCAGTGGATAGAGCGTCGGCCTGGGGACTGAAGGGTCCCAGTTTTGATTCCGGTCAAGGGCATGTGCCTTGGTTGTGGGCACATCCCCAGTAGGCGGTGTGCAGGAGGCAGCTGATTGATGTTTCTAACTACCTCTCTCTCTCCCTTCCTCTCTGTAAAAAAATCAATAAAATATATCGATATTAAAAAAAATAAAATCTAAATCTCTTCAATTCAGTACTCAAACTCTTAACTGAGAGAAATCTTCCAATTGTCTCATGTCTTCCTTTTAGTCCCTCAAAGAAATTTAGTAAGCTCATCCTAGCTTCCCTCTACTCCCCTCCCCCAAAGCAAACCTCCACCTTATACCAGTACTCTTGCTTTTATCTCATGAAGTAACTGCTCCAATCTCTCTGTAAATCTAAACCCTCAGAGGCTAGCTAAAGTCCCAAGTGTTCCAAGAAGTTCTTTAGACTCCTGACACCTCATTCACCTCCCCGACCTGAACACCTACAGCATTCTTTGTATTGGTAGAACTTACTAGGTTGTCTTCTAGACTCACAGAGATACATCTTATCTTTCCTGAGGGTAAAGTCTATATTTTTTTCTTTCTCCCTGTAGTATATAATGCAAAGCACAAAGTAGATAACGTTTTTCACTGAACACGAGGTATAATTTTGCATTTCATTGACTAGGCTATGAAATCAGAATCATTTGACGTTACTTTATTTCTGAAAGTTAACCTTAGGCACAACAAAGAAATTTCTGTGACTTAACAAGACACATGGAAACTGGGTGATATAGATGGGGTCAATGGGAGAAAAAGGGGACATATGTAATGCTTTCAACAATAAAGATTTTTAATTAAAAAAAAAAAAAAGAAACTAGGTAGTATAATGCAGCAAACATAAAACAGGTGTTTTAAATCCTAAAGTTAGAATCTGATATAAAAAAAAAAAACCTGTCTAGCCGAGACCGGTTTGGCTCAATGGATAGAGCGTCGGCTTGGGGACTGAAGGGTCCCGGGTTCGATTCCGGTCAAGGGCATGTACCTTGGTTGCGGGCATATCCCCGGTAGGGGGTGTGCAAGAGGCAGCTGGTCAATGACTCTCTCTCATCGATGTTTCTAACTCTCTATCTCTCCCTTCCTCTCTGTACAAAATCAATAAAATATATTTTAAAAAAAACCACAAACCTGTCTAAATGCTGATATTGGGGCACAGAGCAATACAGTAGTTAGGTTGTGGGACAGAATATTCACCTTTGGGTTTTATTGAATGCATGCAAAAATGAGCCATGAATGCTATAACTGGGCACAATGCAGCCACAGGCTATGAAAACTCTAAATGAAATGTCAGTCCATTTTTATTAAATTGAGGTTTGAAAAAAAATCATCAGTTACTCATGGTAACGGATGGTAGCTATCAGCATCAGAGCAAATTCTTTCCTTTCCGTTTTCAACTTTACTGCACAAAAACACGTAGGATGGATACCGGTGGTGACAGGTGAAGAAGCAGATCAGGAGTGTGGTGAAAAGAGTTGTCTAAATAGAGCCTAGATCCTAGTTTGGGTCCAACTCTGACCAGCTGCAGGGCCCACAGTAAGTCACTCACATATCTCCCTGTGCCTCGTTTTCCGGCTCTAAAACAAGTCACACCAGATCTCTAATGTTTTTTTCTGACTCCAAAATCCCACGTCAAGTTTAACTACGGCTGCCATTAAGTGTATGATTCTTACAATTTCCAGTCTTTCTTCCACATTTCCGGAAGAAAGTAATTTATTTCGGCAACCTAAAAGAAATGGATACTACTCAAAGGAAGGGGGAAAAAAAATGTTAGTTGAAAGTAAAACTAAGTAATTCTGGAAAAAAAATAAAAATGCCTGTGTCTTCATGACAGTGATGTTTCAGCAGAAGAACAGGGCTCTGGTAAAGATAAGCAAGACTGCTTCTGTAAATTAGGCCTAAAGCAGAGTACTTATTATCTGTGCTGGTATGTGAAGACCTGCTATTGTAGTTCAAAGCAGAAGCAACACTCAAAGCTTCTAAATAAAATAAAACAAGGAAAAGAAAAAAAGAAAAGCTTCTCAAAAATAAAAAAACAACAAACAACAAAAACAAACAAAACAACAACGGTGAGAAAGTTCTCCTCGGTGTAAAGACAATAAACCGTTGTGCAAATGAGCACACACTGCAAAAGGCACGCTTTTAGGCATTCAAAGTACTCCAAGCACAGACTCCCCGGCCAAACAATGTCTCCCTTCCAACCTGTCAAAGCGCCATCCCCGCTGGATCCCCAAACAGAAACTTACCCGAACCATCTAACTTCTCCCCTGGGGAGCGGCCTGCTCCCTCTCCGGCTCTGGCCGCCGTTCTGCCGTCCACCCCGGGGCGGCCACAGCCCCGCAGCCCGGTAAACACGCGCGGAGTCCGGGGAGCGGTTTCCCGGAGTCCTGGGAGCGGCGGGTCCCGCCCCTCCGCGCCCCGAGCGGGGAGCCGGGCGCACGGAGCCCGCAGCCCGGAGCCGGACGGGCCGCCGCGGCCACCGAGAGCCGCGCTCCCCGCTCCGAGCGCCACACCTCGCGCCTCTGCCCCCGGGGACGGCGGCGCCCGGCCGAGGCCGCCCCTCAGGGTGCACCCGGGACCGGCCAGTCCGCCGCCGCCGCCGCCGCCGCCTCACCCCCGGCCGGACGCCTGCCCCTTCCCCGGCGGCGGCGGCGGTCCAGCGCCTCCTGCGGCGGCCCGGCCCAAAGCACGGCCCCCTCACCGCCAGGCTCAGCCCCTTCCTCGCTCGCCGGGACGCCTAGCGCCGCGCCGGGCACAGCCTGGGCTCCCAGCCTCACAGACACACCGAGGGACACTCACCCTGGAGGCTCCTCCCGCCGCTGCTGGTGCTGCCGCCGCTGGGACCGCGGCCGTCGCCCCCGCCGCCGCCGCCACCAGCACCGCCGTCCGCACCGGCGCCAGCACCGCCAGCCATCCTCCACCTCCTGCCGCCGCCGCCGCTGCCGCCTCTCCGCTTCTGTCAGGGGCTCAGGCGCCGGGACTGCTCCAGGGTTCCCTCGCCGCCATTTTGACTCCCAGGGAGAGCAGGAGGGGCCCGGCCCGGCGCGGCCCTGGGGCGCCTGCGCGGCGCTGCGGAGCCAGCCCGCGCCCCCGCCGTCGACGCGCCCGGGGTCACGTGGGCCGGTAGCGGCGCGCGCACCGGGTCGGGCCGGGCCGGGCGAGGCGGGTGCGTGCGCTTTATTCCTGCTCCACTCCGGGGATTGGGACGCTGGGCCCTCTGACTTTGAAGTTCGGCGGTAGTGCCCTGCCTGTTCCAGGAAGTGATGACAATCATGAAATGTACCAGAATGGAATTCTAATGACTACGGGGCTGGACCACCAGTTCTGCAATTCCACGTTCCCACTCTGCGGCCAGCATCCGGATTGATCGCACACAATGCACCAGCCTCAAAGAGGAGCCCTGGCTTCCGCGAAGTCCTTTCTGACATTCTTAGTGCTTGGCAGTTTATCTGAAGCCCTGTCTGCGTGGTACTTTTGCAGGCACCACCTTGCTAATTGTGTAGCCGGTTTTTTGTTTGTTTGTTTGTTTGTTTGTTTTAAAGAATCCATTTAAGACGCTGAAAAGTTTTTCTCAAGAAGACATGGTCATAAACGAGGGACAAGAATTGATGAAAGCCATGTGGAAGAGTCATACTGCTCTAACTTAGATGTCCCTCGCTTGAAAGTTTGCAAGAAAGTTTCAGTGATGCAATAGCAAAAACACAACATATTTATGGAGCACCATACAGTTTTCAAATCACTTTAATACAAGGCTTCGTTTGAACACCAAAACTGCCCTTTGAGGAAGCCGGGACAGGCATTATTACCGTCATTTTGCAGGGGACTTTGAAATACCAAGTCCTTTGCCCAGGGGCACACAAGCAGCATTAACAAGGAGGCAAGCCAAGAATAGAACCCAGACATTTCTGACCCTAGTCACCAGGTCATAACCCCTCACCCTTCTATGATAAACCTTAAGAAAACAAGATGTATTTGTCTTCTGGGAATTAATTTAAAGCCCTTTTTAAAGTATTTGAATTTTCAACTTTACTCACATTTTGAGAAACAAGTTTTTTAAGCCATACTGAGTATTTTTTTTGTTCTCAGATAGCCTCTAAACTTGAGGATAAGAGCAATTTCAAATTTTGTGGTGTATTTTTAACCATCTCTGACATATTTAAAATGCTTAATATCCAGCCCTAACCTGCTTGACTTAGTGGATAGAGCGTTGGCCTGCAGACTCAAGGGTCCCAGGTTTGATTCTGGTCAAGGGCCTGTGCATTAGCTGCTGGCACATCCCCGGCAGGGGGTGTGCAGGAGGCAGCTGGTCGATGTTTCTCTCTCATCGACATTTCTAGCTCTTTATCCCTCTCCCTTCCTCTCTGTGGAAAATCAATAAAATATATATATATATATTTTTTTTTTATTTAAAGTCCATTGTCCATACCATCTCTTGACAACTTATTAAAAGTTAAATAAGATCAGTCTCCATTAGTAACTCTTTCTCATTTATTTCTAACATTCATTGCTTGACTTTGGTTCTGCTTCCTAGAAACAAATTTAAAAACAAAATTAAAACAATACTGACAATGATAGCATTCTAAATATGTCCAGGATTATACAATTTCTCTAAGAGCCTTTGATGCAGAAATCTACCAAAGACTTTTTGAAAATCTGAATAAGATCTCTTGGTTTGCCCTGGCTGGTTTGGCTCAGTGGACAGAGCATTGGCCTGGGGACTGAAGGGTCCCGGGTTTGATTCTGGTCAGGAGCACATGCCCAGGTTGTGGGTTTGATCCCCCATAGAGGGCTTGCAGGAGGCAGCCGATCAGTGATTCTCTCTAATCATTGATGTTTCTCTCTTTCTCTCTCCCTTCCTCTCTGAAATCAATAAAAATATAATTTTTAAAAAAATCTCTTGGGAGGCAGCTGATGGATGATTCTCTCTCATTGATGTTTCTATCTGTCCCTCTCCCTTCCTCTCTGTAAAAAAATAAATCAATAAAATATATTTTTAAAAAAATCTCTTGGTTCCACAATATCTTTTTGTCTACCTTATGGCTATAATTTGCCTTCTCAGAAACCATGCATAAGTGTTCTGTGATTTTTCCCACCAGTTAATTCATCCACCTTGTTTTTAGTGCATCTTTGAGATATTGAATTAACTCAGTTTACAAGTCTACTGAATTTAGGTTTGTCAGTTCACTTCAGTCTAGGATAATCCTCACTCAAGAATATTTTTCCATTGATTTTCAGAGAGAGGGAAAGACAGAGAGAATATCAATGTAAGAGAAACACATCAATTGGTCGCCTCCTGCACATGCCCTGACCAGGGCCCGGGCCGGGGAGGAGCCTGAAACTGAGGTAGTGCCCTTGATCAGAATCGAACCCAGAACCCTTTGGTCCACAGGCCAACACTCTATCCACTGAGCCAAACCCCCTAGGGCCAACACACATTTTTTAAAAGACTTTTTGTGGGTTTATTTGAGCCCAACTGTCCACAAGTGCCACACATTTTTTTTTTTTAAGCATCCAATACAATGTGTGTAACAGTGCTAGATGTTCAGGTTAAAAAAAAATAAATGATTCTTTGCCATTGAGAAGCTTAGAAACTACATATAAAGATAGACTGAAAATAATTTTAATAGTAATACTTTTAAAAGGCTAGTGCACAGATAGTACAGTTGATCCTTGAACAACACAGGGCTCAGAGGCACTGACTTCTCACACAGTCTTAAATTCTATGTATAAGTTTTCACTCTCCCAAAACTTAACTACCCTTGGTATCCAGAGAAGGGTTTGCTCTGGGACCCCAGTACCTAAATCTGAGGATGCTCAAGTCCCATATATAAAGTGGCATAGATCTGTGGCCTTCCAACTGATCAAAAACAGTGCAGGCATTTATTGAAAAAAATCTACATATAAGTGGACCCTTGCTGTTTAAACCTGTATTATTCAAGGGTCAACTATATCCAGTAATGGTGAAGAGTATCGGTTCTAAAGAATCTTTTCAATAAATTTCAGAAAAGAGCAATCCATTCCTGTTTTTTCCAGTTTTTATGACCCATTATAACTCACCCCACTTTTTGTTTTAAAAATCTTAAGCTAATTAGAAGTGAGCAAAAACAGTTTCTGTCACTTTTGATCAAGAGTCCAGAATTGCCAAAACCGGTTTGGCTCAGTGGATAGAGTGTTGCTCTGCGGACTGAAGGGTCCCAGGTTTGATTCCTGTCAAGGGCATGTACCTTGATTTTAGCACATCCCCAGTAGGAAGTGTGCAGGAGGTGTGCAAGAGGCAGCTGATTGATGTTTCTCTCTCATCAATGTTTCTAGCTCTCTATCTCTCTCCCTTCCTTTCTGTAAAAAAATCAATAAAATATATTAAAAAAAAAAAAAAAAGTCCTGAATTGTGCTGTGTTCCGCTCCTTGCTCCCTCCATCAGTGAATGGCACCCCATCCACCTGGTCACTTAAGCTGAAAACCTGCGTTATTTTCTACATTAAATGTGTATTCCATTTTCTGTTACTCCAAAGTCCTCCCCCCCCCCTTTTTTTAACCAAACATAACCATCCACCAAAGCCCCTCTCTACACTTATCTTTATGTAAATACAATATGGAAGCTGGGTTTTTTAAATTATGAAAAAAGGGGAAATTTTGCCGAAACCAGTTTGACTCAGTCAATAGACTCTATTGAATAGAGTGTTGGCCTGCGGACTGAAGAGTCCCAGGTTCAATTCTGGTCAAGGGCATGTACCTTGGTTACAGGCACATCTCCAGTAGGGGGTGTGCAAGAGGCAGCTGATTGATGTTTCTAGCTTTCTATCCCTCTCTCTTCCTCTCTGTTAAAACTCAAAATATTTTTTAAAAAGGGGGAATTTTATTTTCTTGTGTGCTTTGGATATAATGATACTGTTTCCAAGCATTTAAAAAATATATATTTTATTGCTTTTTTTACAGAGAGGAAGGGGGAAGTTTAGAGAGCTAGAAACGTCGATGAGAGAGAAACATCTATCACCTGCCTCCTGCACACCCCCTACTGGGGATGTACCAAAACCAAGGTACATGCCCTTGACCTGAATTAAACCTGGGACCCTTCAGTCCGCAGGGCGTAGCTCTATCCACTGTGCCAAACTGGTTAGGGCTCCAAGCATTTTTTTGGGGAAATGTCCCACCATGGAACAAGTCCAATCTGCTCTCAGCAGGGCCAGAATTAAGGCCACTGTCCATAATTTTGCTCTATATTAAAGTCCAATCCAGTCCAGCACCTGCTAACTTAGCTTGTGTTCCCAGCTATGGTCCCATTTTGTATGGGGTCCGCATGAGCACGGACCATGTGGCCGCTTAGGGCGACTTGGCTATGGAGAGAGAACAGGTGAGTGCAGAGCAAGTGTGGGTGATGGACCAAGGGAGAGCCAGAGGACCATGGTGAATAAGAGAGCGGGCATTCTTTGGGTATTTCAACCAGGAACTTTCCAAGATTTTGCATGCTTCTGATGGGGTCTACCTCAAAGCCAATATCCATTGTTTGCCAGGCTAGCCTGACAAGCAAGCTCCTCCCTGTGCCACCCAGATTTCTACTGCATCCATGCCTATCTCCTCCTTTGTTTGATTTCTTCCCCCAGTGATCTGCCGGTAATGGATCCATGGTTGCCAGGGGAACGCGAAGCTATAGCTTACAATGTCTGCCTTACCTTTGCTTTCTTACTTTATATTAAGAACTAACTAATTACAAGGATAGCATTTCTACTTTCCTTCTTCCTCATAACCCCACACTTTCCCCAGTTAAGTGATTTGGGTGAGGTTGATCCTATATATTATACCTGGTTTCCTGATTTAAGTTTTTCAGCAAATGCTACTTCCCTGGCTTTAAAGATGGGTTCAGGGGAGGAAATGTAACCCCATCAAGAGCCCGGATGCAGTGAAATGTTTGCTAGGACTTCCGGAAAAGAACATCTGTCCTTGTACAGAATTTGCTGGAAGAGTCTCCTGTTCTGTTGAATTTGACTGAAAAGGGATGTAGCCCCAGGAGCTCTTGGTAACCATCTTCCTGCCTCAGGGGAGCCTACTTTAGGATACAGCTAACTTGTACCTGAAAAAGAACCGGTGTCCCCCATGACATGATTAAAGAGGGTATAGCAGAGCAAGGAGGATGGGCCACGTACAAAATTCACCAGGGCAGAAAGCCCAGGATGCCTAGCAAGGGGCAAAACTAGGAAAACAGGAACCTTGCCCCCAGGGTAACCTATCCTCCCCTAGCATATTACTGGCCATGAGGTTTAAACACTCTGACTTTTTCTCCCTAAAAATAACATCTAGGCCTCAGGTGTATTTTAGCTGCAGGTCCAGAAAAGCAGCAAAACCAGACAAGTGACCCCGTGGCTGCCTCAAGACTAGCTGTATTGCTGAAACCGGTTTGGCTCAGTGGTAGAGCATTGGTCTGTGGACTGAAAGGTCCCAGGTTCAATTCTGGTCAAGTGCATGAACATTGGTTTCGGGCATATCCCCGGTAGGGGGTGTGCAAGAGGCAGCTGGTCGACATTTCTAGCTCTCTATCTCTCTCCCTTCCTCTCTGTAAAAAATCAAATAAAATATATTAAAAAAAAAAAAAGACAAGCTGTATTGATTAATGAGCCCCTGCCCTGGCTCCAACCAACCAGTGGAGACCAGGATCCTGGAAGAGAACACCTGGAGAGCTGATAAATATTTTATTGAGACCCTCCCCTAAGATTTCCACCTGTAAAAGAGAGATTAATATGCTCACCACAATGGACCTAGCAGGAGCTCTCCCCCCGTGGAGCTTGCCAAGGCCATTCCCTTCCCTCCTCCTTTCCTCTAAGCCCTAGAGCACATGTGTCAAACACAAGGCCCGAGGGCCAAATCCGTCCCGCCAGGCCTTACAATGTGGCCCGCACCGCACTGTCATCACTGCACTCCGCTGCGTTTCCATCACAATGACAGTTTATGACTGTTCAGTAAACCATTCGGCCTGCGATTTAGGCTGGATTTTAGATTTTGGCCCCTTCTCTGATTGAATTCCACACCCCTACCCTAGAGTTTAAGGGACCCCGTGAGACTTGCAACCAGGGGAGCATGGGGCAGTGGCAGCTCAGACTGGGCTAACTCCCCAGAACCTGTCTCCAAAGCCCCCTTTTTTTCTGACTTCTCAATGAGCTAAAACAGCCTAGCCTGGGCTCTACTGCTGCTTCTTCTATCCTCTTCCTTGTTTCACTATCCTGGGTGTGTTTTTGTTGTGGCCAATCAATTCTTTCTTGCTTTGCTGAGGTCTCTTGATTGAAATCTTTCCTTTAATAAGACAAGAACTGAGGTCTTGTCATCTCATCAGTAACGGAGATGCTATTATGCACAAAAGTTTTAACTTTCATAGTTGCAAGTCTTTTAAAATATATATATTTTATTAAATTTTTACAGAGAGAAAGGGAGAGGGATAGAGAGTTAGAAACATCTATGGGAGAGAAATTGTGTCAGCCTCCTGCACACTCCCTATTGGGTATGTGCCTGCAACCAAGGTACATGACCTTCACCAGAGTCAAACCTGGGACCCTTGAGTCCATAGGCCAACACTCTATCCACTGAGCCAAATCAGTTAGGGAGAAAGTCTTTTTATAAACAAGATTTTATTGAACTAAAAATGCTAGCCAGAAAGACTGTTTTGGGGCTGGAGTTGAACCAGCAATATGGATAGATAGAAAAGACAGCGTATCTGTCATCCAGGAGTTCTGCAAGCATTTTTATACATCAAATGGGGAGATGGGGAAGGAAAGAGGTAGTCTTGAATGAATTTACATGAGCTACAGTCAAATGGCAGGGGAAGGTGAATCAGGGCCAGTTCTGGGACAGTAGTCTGGTCTGCCTCAAGAAATGTCACTCTTATGGACTGGATGGGCAGCAGTCTGGAAAACCCACAAGTAAATAAATGGAAGCTGCTGGATGCTACTGGTGCCTAGCTAAAATAATCCTTGGGCCCTGGCCAATATTGTTCAGTGGGTAAAGACTAAGTCTGCACACTGAAAGGCTGTGGGTTAGATTCCCAGTCAAGACCATGTACCTGGGTTTCAGGTTTGTTCCCCACCCCTGGTTGGGGAGCATGAAGGAGGCAACCAGTCTATGTATCTCTCTCACACTGATGTTTCTCTTTCTCTCTTCCCTCCTCCCCTCCCTTCTATTTTTTCTGAAAAGCAATGAGAAAAATATCCTTAGGTGAGGATTAACCAATCATTATCATCATCATTTATGGAAATAGCCATCTGTAAATTAATCTAAAATTCCAACAGGAAAACAGGAATGTTAGAAGTCTTTTGTTAGTTGGACTAACAAATATCTTTTTTTCACTCTCTGGCCACTGTAATTTAATTAGAACATTTTAGAGTTTTTAAAAAGTCAATGCTTAATTAAGCTGTCCTGAAATTAGGCCTACCTTTGGCCATTCTAATTATGCGAGCCAATAAATTTCATTTATCTTCATGTTTTCCTTAACATTTATCCAAGTAATCTTAACTGATACATATACTATCTCATTTCCATATTCCCATTCAAAGAGTAAAAGGTTAACATCGGTGGTGCATGGGCAAGCTAACTAGCCATCTAAGAGGATGAATAATGAAAAATTGAATTTATTTAAGGAATAGGGGATGGGAGATGGCTATCCAAAAGGATATTCAAAGGTACAGGCTACTCTAAGCATATCAAACTCACAGCCCATGGGCCACATGCGGCCCACAACAAATATTTTTGTGGCCCAGCCAATATAACAGTATGTAGGAAAAAAAATTTTTTTTTTTTAGAAATGTTTTAATAAAAATTTTGTAACTTAATTTTTACAATATCTGTTATACATAACTGGAGGCCCAGTACACTAATCCGTGCACCAATGGGCATGATTAATATTCCTTATAATAGTAGCTGGTCCCCAATATTCTATTTCTGACACTAACACGTTCATCAGTTTTCCAGGTGTATTCTTTCAACGTTGTGGTCTCTGCTCATTGGTTGGTGTCAGGGCAGGGGGTCATTGAGTCAATGCAGTTGGTCCTGAGGCAGCCAATGTGCCACTTGTCTGGCTTTGCTGCTGTTCTGGGCCTGGAGCTGAAATACAACTGAGGCCTGGATGTTATATTTAGGGAGGAAAAGGTCTGGGAGGCCTAAACTGCCTTATCAGTGATATGAAAGATCTGGGGTCCAAAGCTCATGACCAGTGGTATGCTAGGGGAGGACAGGTTACCCTGGGGCCGAGGTTCTTATTTTCCCAGTTTTGCCCCCTGCCAGAGCTTTTAGCCCTGGTTAGTTTCTGTGCCTGGCCATCGTCCTTGCTCTGGGGGACCTAATGAAGAGAAATAATGTTACAGAGAACTGGAATAAATCAAGCAATGCTCAGAGATTTTGGAATCACACTTTATTCACAGGTGGGCTCAGAGAAAATGAATTCAGATTCTAAGCAAAGCTACAAGCAGAACTTCCCTTTTTATTAAAGAGCCAGCCCCGTGTGTGCTTAGCGGTTATCTGGCTGTCGGCCTTGAAAACAACACAGTTCTATCCAATTAAAAAATGCACCTGGCATGGCATTGAGAGTGTGGGCGTATCTAGTCTCTGGCCTACAAGGTCAGATGCTAAGTTTATCTTCCTCATTATTCAAGCAGGCTAAAGCAGGCTAGAAAGCAAAGCTATTATTTTTTTTAGAATAAGAGGCCGTCTAAAAAAATAGCAGGGAATTCCAAACAGTAGTTTTACAAAATAGGGATTAGCCTTCTCAATATTATTATACTTATTTTATTATTCTGAGCCTCTGTAGCTAGTAAATGATAATGCTGAGGCCTGACCTTTGACCTCTGTGCTCCAACAGTCAATCTCTTTTTACTCCAGCATAACAAAATTTAGTGATGTAAGAAAACTAAAATTGATCTCAGTTTTAATAGTGAAGAGACTAACATTCTGCCACCTTGAAATTGCTTTTGGGGCTATTGATTTGAAGTTGTTCATTAAGAAACAAGAGACTCAGAAAGAACCTTTGACCCCCCCTTTCTCCCCACCCCCCACTTTTCTACCCAATAGATTCAGAGAGAGCAACCTGCTTCAGGAAGGAGATTTTAGGATGCTGCCTTAGCCTATTTTGAATTAAGTATTGTAAATAAAGGGTTTTAGGTGTCTGTTAGCTACATAACCCCTGTTGTCCCATTGTTTCTGAGTCACCCAGCAAGAATGTTCCTGCCATGTGTGTTTCCCTCTTCCTCAAATACAGGTAAATTGCCCATTCTCACTTCTTGAAATCTACTACCCTTTTTACCCATCTTTCTTCTTTGTCCAAACTGTGGTATATACCCAATATTACCTCACTGTCTTGAGAATTTTCATGGGCTTATTATGTCTTTGTGAATTCCCCTGTGCATGTTTTAAACTTTGATTTTCTCCTGTTAATCTATCTTCGTTAGTTTGGTTATTGGCTCAGCCAGAAAAACGTAAAAAGTGGGAGGGAAAGTATTAATATATATATTAATTTTTTACAGAGAGAAAGGGAGAGGGATAGAAAGTTAGAAACATCGATGAGAGAGAAACATCCATTAGCTGCCTCCTGCACAGTCCCTACTGGGTATATTCTTGCAACCAAGGTATATATGCCCTTGACCGGAATCGAACTTGGGACCCTTGCATCCACAGACCAAAGCTATAGCCACTGAACCAAATCAGTTAGGGCTATGATGTAATTTTTGATAAAAGAAAATTTTGCACAATAATGAACTTGGAACACCAAGATTATGTTTTGAACTGCCTAAAGACAGTTCTTTCTCAGGATTCTTTGTAATCATGGACAGCAGCTTTTGCTGGACCTTATATTACCATTGTGCTTTCAATTCAAAAGTGTTCCTGATGTTACCAGTTGCATAACTCGGGATATTTTTTCCACCTTGGCAGTCCTTCTGCTCTTGCTACTTGCTTATCCGAGTTTCTATCTCAGAGGTCCTGCAATTGTAAAGACAACCACAAATAGACCCAGAGAGAGGCCCTGCTTCCCTCAAAGAACTTCGGCCCTTGAATAGCAATTAGATGTATGTTTCTAGAGAGGAGAAAATGCAGGATGTTTGAGCCTGGGGTAGTGCAGTCAATACATTATATAATCCTCTAGAACTCTAATGCCAGTTTATTTAGAACATGAACATTTATAAAAACCACATAAAAAAACTAAGTAGGCAAATGTGGCTTTCATTTTCATTATACACAGAGAGATTAAAAAAACAGACCAAAACTTGATCTCTAGGCTGTCGTTCTAATTATGGCCTTTTACATAACTGCAGCAGGAAGGTCCTGGATTGTAGGTCAGTGAGAATATATTGAACGCAGGGCCCACTAAGCCCTTTATTGAATATTGAAGAGGTTTGAGTTAATAGTGCTAGTCTTTTGTGACTTGAGGAAGATTGGACTGTAATTTGAGAAGCTAAAAGTGCTACCTCTTGGAATAGAAGTGGGTGGCTAGGAGTTTAATTGTGTTGTGGCTGAATCTGGAGTTAGATTTACTGACACTGTGGGGTTTTGTCACAGAGAACTACCTAAAATGCTCAGTTCTCACATTAGCTGCACTCCTGTCAGAACTTTTTTGAATTTTGATTAGTCTAGCCGGCTTGTCTCTTACTGAGCTCCCTCTTAGCTTACTTTAGCATTTCTTACTTAAAAAAAAAAAAATTAAAAAGCAAGGGTAGGTCCTGGCCAGTTTGGCACGGTTGGTTGAGCATCATCTCATGCACTGAGAGGTCACCTGTTCGATTTTAGGTTAGGGCACAGGCCAGGTTGTGTCTGGATTCTCAGTAGAGGGCATGCAGGAGGCAGTCTAAATTTCTCTCTCATTTAAAAAAGATATTTTTATTGATTTCAGAGAGGAAGGAAGAGGGAGAGAGAGGTAGAAGCATCAATGATGAGAGAGAATCATGGATTAGTTGCCTCGAGTCCAAACCCAGGCATGTGCCCTTGACTGGAATCAAACTTGGGACTTTTCAGTCCATAGGCCGATGCTTTATCCACTGAGCCAAACTGGCTAGGGCATCTGTTTCTCTCCCAATAGTGTTTCTCTCTCACTCTCCCTCCTCTCCTCTCTCCAAAATATCAATAAAAAAACATTTTTTAAAAATGCTGGGGCAGTCTTGGCCAGGTAGCTAGTTCTTTAAAGTGTTGTCTGAGATGCCAAGATTTTGAGTTGAGCTCCCCCATCAGGGCACATACAAGAGGCAACCTGTCTTTTTCTAAAAAAGAGAAACAAATCTTAAAAAATACAAAAAAAAGTTCAAAGTAACATTTTTGAGGTGACAATGGATCTATAAAATATGAACAGGTGACACTTTAAAAAAATAACCCAAATTATTAATAAGTTTTAGAATTCTAAATGAAGAACTCAACAGAAGGGCTGGAGGAAGAAGTCAAGGGAATCTTCCAAAATATAGAAAATGGGGACAAAAAGAGAAAATTGATACACATAGATGACCCACCAAGAAGGGCCAATATCCATTTAAAGATCACCTGAGGATCTTTTTTTTCCATTGCTTTTTAGAGAAAGTGGAAGGAAGGGAGGCAGGGGTGGTGGTGTTGGGGGGGGGGCAGGTAGAGAAATATCAAAGTGAATTGGATTGGTTGCCTCCCACTCTATCCCCGACTGGGATGGGGATTGAACCTGCAAGAGCCAACTCTGTAATAACTGAGCCAAAACTGCCAGGGCAAGTTGATTCTTTCATGTGCCATGACTGGGGATAGAACTCACAATCTTGTTCTATCAGGATGTTGCTCTAATCAACTGAGCTATCTGGCCAGGGCTAGTAGTAGTTTCAGATTGGGAATAGAGAAACTTGAGAGAAGGAAATAAATAATAGACATCTCCCAGAGCTAAAGTAACATCCAAGTCTTCAAGTTGAGAGATCTCTCCCACTGCTAATTCATATAAATGAAGACAGACCCATATCTAGTCATATCTTGAAGAAACTTCACAAGTCCAAAGACAAACAGAAATTCCTAAAAGATACCATAAAGAAAAAAAAATAGAGGCTACATCAAAGGTTGATAATTATATTGGCATCACACTTATCAGTTACACTAGATATTGAATAGAAGGGGATACTATTTGTCAAATTCCTGAGGGACAGTGATTATAAGCCTAGAACTCTATAGTCAGCAAAATTAGCATTTAAGTGGGGAGCAAAATAAATATTTTTTTGACTTGCAGGGACTGAGGATATCTATCAACTACAGACCATTCCTGAAATAATTGCTTAAGGATGTTACTACATCAAAATGAAATAGGAACCTAGGAAAGAGGAAGATACTAGGTTGCAGAAATAGGGCAATCAAAGGAAATTCTTGAATGCTAGTTGCCAATAAGCCTAACAAGGAAATAGTGTGAAGAAATTGGTTCATCTTTTGTGACTTAGAGAGTGGATAAAGGTTTTATTACAGTACTACAGGCCCAGTGCATGAAATTCGTGCACTTGGGAGAGGGGGGGGGGAGATCCCTCAGCCTGGCCTGTGCCCTCTTGTACTCTGGGAGCCCTCAGGTGATGTCTGACTACTGGTTTAGCACTGCATGGAGGCAAGAGAAGCTTCTGCCACTGCTGCTGTGCTCGCCAGCCATGAGCCCAGCTCAGGGCTTCTGGTACTGACCGCTAGGGGGCAGCTCCTGCATTGAGCATCTGCTCCCTGGTGGTCAGTGCATGTCATAGCGACTGGTCATTCTGCCATTTGGTCGATTTGCATATTAGCCTTTTATTATATAGGATTAGAGGCTGGATGCATAAAATTTGTGCAAGAGTAGGGGCCTTCTTTCCCCTAGCTGCCAGGACCGGGCTTCTCTCACAGCCCAAGCTTCATCTAGAAGGTTGTTCAGAAAACCATCCGGTCTAATTAGCATATTGTACTTTTATAATTATAGATTACAATAAAAAAAATCACAATATATTCCATTTTTTTCTCCAAGAGCTATGAGTTTGTGATATCACCTTCTCTACTGGGCCCAAACATTGTATCAATATTTGATCTTCCCATGAACATTTTTTATATCGTTAACAGATAGTGGTTCTTGGTTTTCTTTTTACAAAACAATTTTTTAAATTTTGTTTTAGAGAGAGAAAGAGGAAAGGAGAGAGAAATGAGAGAGAGAGAGAGAGAGAGAGAGAGAGAGTTAGTTGTTGTCCCACTAATCTATGCATTCAGTGGTTGGTCCTAGTATGTGCCCTGGCCGGGAAGCCCAACCACAACCTGGGTGTATCCCCACAACACTAATCAACTGAACTACCTGGCTATGGCTGTTTTTGGTTTTCAATGCTGGGAATTAATTTACAGTCAATTTATGGAGGATTTAATTACCATTAGAGAACAGAGTATAAAGGTCATACACTCTGCCAATGAGAAGTAACAGCATGTTGAGAAGCCTAGGTGCAAAGCAAAGATAAAGAGAAGTGTAGAGGTGCTGAGTCCTCCACCTTCCCAAGCAGAAAATCAAGAGATGATCTGTGTGGGGTGGGGGAGGGGGGCTGAGCAGTTTGGGAGGGTAGGAAGCCTCACCTAGGGCACAGGTTTGAGGGATAAGGGAATGAGAATAGAAGGGAGGTGTTTGAGAGCTGGGGGTAGATTGTGCAAGTACTGGGCTGAGCAGGGAGGAGACACAGCAGGGCAGAGCGGAAGGGGCGGGGCCTAGCAAGGCAGAGCGGAAGAGGCGTGGCCTGCGGCCAGAGGCGCATGCGCAAACCCCCTTCCCGCCCAGCTCTCGCGCTCACGCGGTCCAGCCTTCGCTCGCCTCCCGCGTGCTGTCCGGTAGCCTCACTTCGCTTCGCTTCGCTTCGCCCGGCTTCACCTCACCCGCCGCCGTCATGCCCCGCCTGGTTATTCTCTGCCTGCACCGCCGCAGCCGCCTGAGCCCGCTTGCACCCCGGCTGGCCCACTCGGGGCCTGGTCGCAACCGGCAGCCGTTGTCCGAGATGGTGAGTTGTAACGCAGCCGCCAGGGCCGTGCTGACTGGACATGGCGGGCGGGAGCATGTGGCCTCGACCGGTGGAGACCGGCTCCTGCCGGCGGCTTCCAGGCTTCCCCGGGCCGGGCCGGGCCTCTGTTTGGAGGGTGCTGGGGTCGGGCAGCGCCACGGTGAGCACCCCTTCTTTGGACCTGAGGGGCTCCCAATGAGGACGCTGGGAGCTGGGAGCGAGCGCGGCCTGAGAGAGGTTTGGGCCTCGACCGCGTGGGCGCCAAGATGGAGGGCAGAGCCTTTGTTGCAGAATGTCCGCCACCTTCGTCTGCCGCCTTCGAACGCTTTCTTCGTTACCCACGCCTGTTATTTCCCTCAGAGGGTGGGAAATCCCGCTCGGCGTCTAGGTTCCAGAGTTCAAAGGTTGGAAGTGAGAAGCCGTTAGAGGGAAAAGTGAATATTTTTCAAAAATGTAAGTTAGGTCATTAAGGAAGGGAGATCGTGTGTTTTTGTTGTTTTTTTAGTTTTCCGCAGACCCGGGTTCCTAGGGCAACGGCCAGATTCCTCAAAACGAAAGCGGCTTTTGTTAGGCAGCGAGGGAGCCATCATACTCACAGCGCTCTTCCTTTTCCCTTCCAGGACGTGGCTGTTGGACTCGTGGTGTTTTTTATGACTTTCTTAACACCGTGTGGGTATATACTGCACAACCTGAGCCAGTTCAGAAGACAGTAGGTGCAAGAAGATGCAGAGCAGCTGTTAACGACCAGCAAGATTTCAGAGAAAAAGCTGCTCCTTTAAATGAGTAAAAGTGCCAAGTTGGATTGATGGGCATTGTGGGGGTATTCAGTTTCATGACCATATGTTTAGAGTCAATATTTTGCACTTTTTTAGGACCGTGCATTATATAAAGTTGAGCTGTTTAGTCATTTAAAAATGTTAAATAAAACGGAAGCACTTATTCATGCTTGGCATTCTGTGGTCACAGATAATTTTCTGCACGTCCTGAAAGCTGGTGATAATTCACTGAAAAATACAGTAGTGAGAATTGCTATGGCAGGTCAGACTTATTGAACCCAGTGCCATGGAATGTTATATGAGGAGTGAATGCATATATTTGGTGACATCAGCATTAAAGAGATTAGATATGTAGTTGTATGAGTAATATAAGTTTAGCTAAATGATCCTTCCTACTATTTGTACATTCCATTGTTATTGCCACTTAGAGTAATGAGATCCAGGCTTTCCTATGCACTTTGAGAAATATAACTAATATAACTTAAATTTGCCTCTTTAAATTCCTACATTTCAGGATTTAGTAAGTACCTGCATACTTTATTGTTCCTCTCCTGAATTATTGTTCTAAGTCGCCTTTCAGTTTGAAGAATCGTACATCTTTGTTTGAATTGTAGCTCACTCTCCCAATTATGGTGTGACTGGCCAGCAGAGTTCAACTCTGAACCTTGGTTTCCTTCTCTCAATAATGGAACTTAAAATTGCCATCTTGAGGTGGGAATGTTCTGGGGGAGTAAAACATTGAACAAAGGTAAAACACCTCCCACCTGAAATAGACTAATCAATACATGTATATGTGCTTACTAGTATTTACACAACTAAGTACATTTCCTGTGATGGGCCAGATGTTGTGGAGGTCAGTAAACCAACAATAGGTCCCTGCTTCTGAAGGGCTTGGTGGACTTGCATTCTAATTTAATATTTCTAAGCTTACACTTCAAAATTTCTATTGGTTTTTTAGAGTTCTCCTGAAAAACTGAACCAATATGGTGCACTGTGTGTGTGTGTGTGTGTGTGTGTGTAATTGATTTTAAGGAATTGGCTCATAATTGTGAATGCTGGCAAGTCCAAAATCTACAGGGTAGGCCAACAGGCTGGAGACTCAGGAAAGAATTGCATTTTGAGTCAGAAGTCAGTCTGCTGGCAGAATTTAAGTCTTGGAGGAGAAGGCAGTATTTTCCTTAAGGCCTTCAACTGATTGAATGTGGCACACCCGGATTACAGAGGGTAATCTTCAGTACTCAGTGTTGATTAATTTAAATGTTAATCCTATCCAAAATATACCTTAACAGGAACATGTAAAATTATCATTTGGCCAAATACCTGACTACTATCACAGTTGGGTAAGTAATTTTTTAGACGGAAACGATGAGAAGGGCCTGTGATACTCCTAAAATTTTAAATATATTTTTATTGATTTTTTACAGAGAGGAAGGGAGAGAGATAGAGAGTTAGAAACATTGATGAGAGAGAAACATCGATACTGGGTATGTGCCTGCAACCAAGGTACATGCCCTTGGGGACCCTAGAGCAGGCCAATGCTCTATCCATGAGCCAAACCAGTTAGGGCACTCCTAAAATTTAAAACTATGAATACAGTGGCTAATTTAAATAATATTTGTCAAGATCCACCTTCTCTGTTCACTAGTGGCAAACCCACTCTTATGCCTTTTAAAGAGCTCTGGCCACCGAAACCGGTTTGGCTCAGTGGATAGAGCGTTAGTTTGCAGACTGAAGGGTCCCAGGTTCGATTCCGGTCAAGGGCATGTACCTTGGTTGCAGGCACATTCCCAGTAGGGGGTGTGCAAGAGGCAGCTGATCGATGATTCTCTCTCATCGAAGCTTCTAACTCTCTATCCCTCTCTCTTCCTCTCTGTAAAAAATCAATAAAATATGTTTAAAAAAAAAAAAAAAAAGCTCTGGCCATTCAGGACACAGACTTTTCAACACAGTGTTCTTGTTGATTTTGAACTTACTTTCTTCTCTGATTTTAATAACTGTGCTTCAACTTATGATGCTTGCCTTTATGCTCCATCTAATGACAAATACTGGTTTACCTTTGTCTTGGCTGGGGAATAGTATTGAACTGTAGAAGTCTGTTCCTTAGAACTTTATTTTTTTAAAGGAAGTAACCTTTTTTAAATGTTTTTATTGATTCTTAGAGAAAGAGGAAGGGAGAGGGGGAGAGAAACATCAATGAGAGAGAAACATCATTAATTGCTTGCCTCCTGCATGCCCCCCCACCGGGGATTGAGCCCACAACCTAGGCCCGTGGCCTGACTAGGAATCGAACCGGTGACCACTTGTTTTCCTGGGTTGACTCTCAACTGCCTGAGCCACACCAGCTGGGCTGTTCCTCAGAACTTGAGCACTCAATTTTTGGAATCATTTATTTGGTACTCTTATTTATTGAGTACTGCTATGTGCAGAAATGGTAGCTCATTTTGGTGAATTAGCTCTGTCGCCCTGTCTTATTTAATTTTACAATGCATAAAGGTGTCATATCAAAGTACAGTTGATTCTTGTTACTTGCGGTAGTTATGTTCTTTAAAGTCACTGTAAACACCGAGTTAGTGAATTCTGAACCATTGCTCCTAGGGGAAATACAAGGTTAGGTTCCTCAGACCCCTTTGTCACATTTTTATCAAGTTAGCAATACATATTTTGTTTAATGTGTGTTTTTATTTAAAGATACCTTATTTAATAAGTATTATTGATTCATTGGAAGCCCGATGCATGAAGATTCGTGCAAGAATGGGCCTTCCCCTGGCTGCTGGCAACGCCTTCACTCCTGCTGGAACTGCCTTTTCGCTCTGGCCAGGAGCTGCCTTTTGGCCTTCCTACGCTGCCCAGAGGCCTAGAGTGGCTGGGGTGGTGCAGAATGCCTGCGTTATCACCATGGTGACAACACAAGTGCCCCAGCCACTCGGTTCCTGGATATGCAAATTAACCTGCCACCTTTGTTGGGTTAATTTGCATAATCCTGATTGGCTGGTGGGTGTTGTGAAGGTACGGTCAATTTGCATCTTAATCTTTTATTAGTGTACATGATTCATAAACATTGTACTCTTGACCAACAGCACTGTAAATTGTGCCTGACAAAGCTTATCTAATATTTAATATTTTCCATATAAGGCACATTATAGTATTGTGCTTAGGAACTCTAGACAGCACTTCAGCATTATGCAGCAACAAAAAGTACAAAATCATGTGTGTCACTAAGTAAACCATGGAAAAGGCACATACTAGTACAATATGATAGCTGAAACAAGAAGGCAGAGCATCACCTTTCAACCTCACCATTGGGTGATTCAAATTTTACCTCATTCTATGCATGTCTTTGAATGATTTGAAAACGTATTGGTTTTGGAATTGCAAATCAACTTTAGTGAGTAGAAAATTTTGCAAATATGGGATCTACAAATAATGAGGATCAAGTGTTATTCTTGGAAAAGGTCTTGCTCCCCATTTGTGAAAAATTTTGGGAATTCTTAGTGTGAAATTTTAAGAGTTTGCAGGATATTCTTTTGGGAATAATGGAGAAACCTTTATCCCTTGAGGTTGAATTTTTTAAAAAGGGGAATAGTTTTAAAAAGTGAATTTACCTTGGGGAACAAATGAAGTAGTGCACCTCTTGGTATTGGCTAATTCAGTTCTCTGGTGAGGGCTTTCTTCATGGGCTGAAGGTTGCCTCCTCACTCAGTCCTCACATGGGAGGTGGGCAGGAAGGCTCAAAAGAAAGAGCTCTCTTCTCTCTTCCTGCTCACATAAGAACACTACTCGTGAGAACCCCACCCTCTTCTAATCATAATTACCACCCTAAGGCCCCATCTTTCCAAACCATCACATTGGAGTTAGGGCTTTGACATAGGACTTTTGAGGGATATGAGTCAGTCCATAGCAAAGTCGGTTAGCTTATGTGGAGGAGGCATAGTGGAGAAAAAGAACATTGAGATTTCTAGTCAACAGTGAGAATAACAGCTTCCTTATGAGAGAAAAAAAAAGTGTTGGTAGGGGTAGGAAAATAATGCAAGGGTTCTGAAAATTGAGTTTAAAGTATTAATGGGACATCCAGATATAAACATCTATCAAACAGTTAAGACTATGAATTGAATCTTTTAAAAAAAATTCTTTATTGTTGAAAGTATGTATGTCTCATCCTCCCCCGCCCATTGTCCTCTCCCTGGCTGCTACCACCTTCCAGCACATGCCCTTACCCCCTACTATCTGTGTCCATTGATTATGTTTATATACATGCATACAAGTCCTTTGGTTGATCTTTTACCTCTCCTCATCTGCCTGCCTTCTGAGGTTTGATGGTCTGTTCGGTGTTTCTGTGTCTCTGGATCTATTTTTGTTCATCAGTTTCATTGTTATGATCCACAAGTGAGTTAGATCATGTGATACTTATCCTTCCAATGCTGTTGCTAATGGTAAGAGTTCTTTCTTTTTCACAGCTGTGTAGTATTCCATTAAAAAAACTTCCATTCCCTAACCGGTTTGGCTCAGTGGATAGAGCATCGGCCTGTGGACTCAAGGGTCCCAGGTTCAATTCCAGTCAGGGGCATGTACGTTGGTTGCAGGCACATCCCAGGAGGTGTGCAGGAGGCAGCTGATGGATGTTTGTAACTTTCTATCCCTCTCCTCAGAAATCAATAAAAATATATTAAAAACATTGTCTTCAGTGCTAGCAGACAGGGGAACATAGATTATTTAATAAAAGACAACTAGAGCGCTAGCTGATTTAGCTTAGTGGCTAGAGCATCAGCCTGTGGACTGAAAGGTCCTGGGTTCGATTTTGGTCAAGGGCACATGCCTGGGTTGCGGGCTTGATCCCCAGTGTGGGTGTGTAGGAGACAGCCAATTGATTCTCTCTCATCATTGATGTTTCTCTCCATCTCCCTCTCTGAAATAAAAAATACATAAAATAACCATTTAAAAAAAAGAGTGACAGCAAACTAATCTTCATCAATCAAGGGTTCCAGGAAACAAGGAAATACCTTCAAATGTTGAAGGGAAAATGATTTTGAACTAAATCTTCTGTTGAGTAAATAGTGCCTGAGAGTAGGGGGCAAAGAAACATTTTAGCATACGATAGTGAAAGAAATAACGAAGGACATACTTCAATAAGAAAGGAAAGAAATCAGAGGGAAAATGTGGTACACAAAATGGCCAAAATATGTTGGTAAATTTACTTAACTATTGATCAAATGAGTAAACTATTTTTAAAAGATGAACTGAAACTCAAGATAACAAAATAGGGAATCGTTTAATT